GATTTTTTTAATAAATAAAACACTATCAGTTTCACTTAATAATTCTAACCTCACAACACTTGACTTTTCCAGGGTCTTTTTTTTTTTTTTTTTTTCCCATAAATAAATAGATAGATAAATAAATAAGCAAGCTTACCCAGCTTACCTAAACTGAGACAGAATATTCCCAAGAATTTACAGCATCTTGTACCAAAAGGGTTAGAGATGGATTTCCCTAGTAGTACATTCAAAGTATGTATTTAAGTTACTTCAAAAGTAGACTAACAAAACTGTAATAAACCAGCATTTACAAGAAAATTTAAATTAATGGCATGGAAAGCATTACACATCTATTCATCAAAACTTTATAGTTTTCAACTCACTTCTACATCTTTTTTTCAGCATAGAAAACACACATAAAATAGTTGCTTACAATTAACTGTGAGCGATTTCTATTAACTGGCTGACATGTTTTGTACATTAGATTAAACATGAAACAAAGTACCTCTTGTATTTATTTACTTGCATTTTGAACACTTTCTAAAAATCTGAAGATTTCTTATATATGGACTACCCATGCAGAACAGACCAGAACAGACTGTGTGCCAAACTCTGCGTCCTCTGACTACCTACTTCAAAGGATTACTACTGAGAAGTGAAACCTTAGCATACTTGCAGTCATACAAGGGCAGCCCTGGAGCAGATATCACAATGTGCTCTGAAAATACTCTGTTCACTCATAATGTTGCCTGTCAGGCAGTCTTTACTTATTGCTTACATGTGCCTGCAGCTGTGAGCATCTCTGCTCTATCAGGAGAGCTCCTCTGCCTTCTGCAAAGAGCTGTGAACTCAGGAGTAACAGACCTCCTCATTAATGGTCACAGGCTGGTCATTAGATGGTCACTGAATCTTTCTGGATGACCTGTTAATGAATTTCCCACTGGCTTTTTATGAAGATTGGTCAAGGTAGACAGTATAGATAATTTATAGCTGAGCACCTGGCATGTTAGTAGTCTTTGCTCAGCAAATCTAATTGACACAGTACTGCTAAGAGGAAGTACATCCTTCCTAATTTGTTTGTCAGGTGTAAATATTTCATGTTGAAAGGAAACTTTGGATTCTGTGTTTAAAAATATGTTCAAATATTTTATTTAGGGGGGAATTTATTTAAGAATTTAATAAGGAATAAAGTCTTTATCTTACAAACCTTTTTGACACTTTTTCCCCTTAATGCTTAGTTTATTTAAAACAAAACAAAACAAAACAAAACAAAAGATACTATTCACCTGTAAAAGGCTTAGAGGCCTTCACAGTGTAAAAATCATATCTCAGTGGGTGCCTGTTAGCTGCAAAAGCCTGGAGAGGTCTTAGTACCTGTGGTGCCTAATCTCTATGAATCACGGAAATTGGCCAGAAACCACGGTCCCTCCAGCAGTGATCTTACCAGCTCTCAAGGGCTAAATAGTTTCAACTGGGCCTTGACTTGTTGGGAAAGCTGCAGGAAAAGCCCAAGAAGTGACAATGATACAACAGACAGTACTCTTCCCCCTAGCATTGGTGATAATGCCATAGGGTTAATTAATTCTTCGAAGGAGCCTGTTTTTGCTTTAGTCGTGCAGGAACCTTCTCCCATTTTGAGAGTGATAGGAGTCCACCAATGCTGTGATTGCTAGGCATTTCACAGCCCTGAACATGTGCTAAACTGGATGACTGTGACCAATATATTCATAATCCTTTAAGGTTTTGTATTTTCATTTCCACGTTTGAGTATTGTAGTTAGTTTATATATAAGACATGTAATTGTTGTAAGAAAGTGGGTTTGAATCTGTTCCGATGTCCTGGGAATGCTCAGGAAAGATCTTCACATCCCATTACAAGTTTTCATGCCCTTGACCCCCATTAAGAGGTTCCCTAATGCTCATCTCATTCCCTGCAAATAGCTGCAAGATTGCAAAAATCTCTTCACTGCTTCTAGATGGCACTTCCAGAGCCCTCCTTGTGTTGAGAATGAGGAACTGAGTTTCAAGAAAGGTATCCTGACCATTCAGGAGGTTGTGTTGCAAGGAGGTGGTTTTGCAAAGAGATGACCTGACCACTGCTTCCCAGGGCGTGGAAACTGTCTTTAGGAAGAGTTTTTGCCCTTCAGCTTACATTTGGTGACTTTGCTCTAAATGAGATGAGGTTATCTAACTGTCCCATTAACCAGATATTCAATTTCATATCTTTTGATTATGAATGACACCTTCATCTCCTAGTTTCAAATACTGGAGTATTCCTGTCTCCTTAACGGACATTGCAGAAAAATGGTGTTGTGGCATCCACTGTAGGTAAGCTTCCTTAAAATGACAAAAAAATGTTCAGTTCTTACTTTGGTTCTACACCTTTTGTGGTGCAGATATGACAGTTCATGCAAATGAGAGGAGCAAGATGCTTTCATGGAAAACCATAAATCATTTCAGATAAATAAGAGATTTATTTAACGATTGCTTATCTTCCTGTTATACAGCATCCTGCATATTTTTCCATAGTAAAAAATAAATAATATACTCAAATATTGTCAAAGGTTTGAGAAGGACCATATACAGACCCAAAGTAGTATATTTTTAAGAAAATACATTGAACCCAGATTGACTTCTCACAGCATCTCAGTAGAGAAAATAACAAAAAGTAGTAATAATAATATTTATTTTTTTTCATGAGCTGTGGTCAGTCAGCTTTAACATCCTAGGATCAAAAATTGAAAGTGTACATAAAATATGACTTTGGTCTCAGCAGTAATATCAGCTCCATGGAAATACTCTCTTCAGGAGGGAAAATGCTTCTTAAATCACAACACTTCCTTAAATCACAGTGTAATTATCCATTACAGAAATGCACATAACAGTTTAGAAGTGTTGTTGCATATTAAGACAAACAACTTTGCATCAGTGAATAGATCTTTAACTACGCGTCTGTGTGCAGTACACCTAGTTTTAACCAGTCTTACGCACACATCCAAAATGCACATGAAGTACCATTTCCATCTCTGCATGTGCTCTAGCTGGAACCCCAAACACAAGTGGTACTAACACCATATAAGGCTGCCCAGAGAAAATAAACTAAAGTGAAGGCATATTGCATTTTCAATTCTCACTATATCATAGAATCATGAAATTATAAAATAGTTTGGGTTGGGAACTTAAATATCCTCTAATTCCAGTCCCTGCCATGGGCAGGAACATGTTCCACTAGACCAGGTTGCCCAAAACCTCATTCAACCTGGACTTACACTCATCCAGGGACTCACAGCTTCTCTGGGCAGTCTGTTCTGGTACCTCACTACCCTAACAGTAAGGAATTTCTTCCAAATATCTAATCTAAATATACCCTCTTTTAGTGTAAAGCCTCGTTATCATATCACTACACTCACTGACAGACTTCCTCTCCAGCTTTCATGCAGACTCCCTTTAGGTATTGGAAGGCCACTATAAGGTCTCCTTGGAGCCTTCTCTTCTCCAGGCCGAACCCCAACTCCCTCAGCCTGTCTTTATAGGAGAGGTGCTCCAGCCCATTGATAATCCATGTGGCCCTCCTCTAGACTTCTCTATAACATGTTCATGTCCTTCTCCTGCTGGGGCCCCAGAGTGGAACACAGTACTCCACATGGCATCTCACAAGAGCAGAGTAGAGGGGGAGAATCACTTCCATCAACCTGCTGGCCACACTGCTTTTTTAATGCAGCCCAGGATATGGTTGGCTTTCTGGGTTGCTAGTTCACAGGAATAGCTCATGCTGAGCTTCTCATCAACAAATGCCTCCAGGCCCTTCTTTTCAGGGCTGCTTTCAATCCATTCTCTGCCCAGCCTGTATTTGTTCTTGGGATTGCTCTGGCCTTGGTGCAGGACTTTGCACTTGGCCTTCTTGAACTTCACGTGGTTTGGCCAGGCCTGCCTCAAGCCTGTCCAAATCCTTCTGGATTGCATTCCTTCCCTCCAGCATGCCAGTCACACCACACAGCTTGGTGTCACCAGCAAACTTGCTAAGGGTGAACTTGATCCCAATGACAACGTCACAGACAAAGATGTTAAACAGCACTGGTCACAGTACTGACCCCTGAGGAACATCACTTATCACTGATCTCCATTTAACCATTGAGCTATTGAGCACAACTCTTTGAGTGTGATCATCCAGCCAATTCCTTACCCATCAAGTGGTCCATTCGTCAAATCCATGTCTCTCTAATTTAGAGACAAGGCTATCACTGGCTATCAGTGTCAAATGCTTTGCATAAGTCCAGGTAGATGATGTCAGTTGCTCTTCCACCAATGCTGTAATCCCATTGTAGGAGGCCATGAGATTTATCAGGCACAATCTGCCCTTAGGGAAGTCATGTTGGCTGTCACCAATCAACTCCTTATTTTCCACATGCCTTAGCATGTAAACATTAAGTATCTCTGCACATATGTAGAATTTCTGCTCCTTACTGCATGTTATTGGATGGTTATTTCCATTCATATGTAAAATGTTTCCCAGATAGTGATAACTTAGCAACAAACATGTATCTTTCTAGTGGCTGTCCCTTGGAAACGGTACAGGAAATGATACCCTACAGGAGTCTACCAACCTCTTTGCAGAAATGTTTGCAAGGCTGAACTAACACAAATGTGATTGCATGTCTGTTTTGCCTAACCTTTACCTATTTTTAAAGAAAACATTGAAATCTTTAGTTAAGTTGGCTATTTTTAAGAAACCATAGTCTTTCATTTCCTCGCAATACATGGAACATTTGGTAAAACAATACAAAAGTGAATCCTGCTCTAATGTAACATTTAATCTCACTTTTATTGTATTTATTTTCAGGAAATATATTGAACACCAGCTGCAAGACAAGTAGATGTTTTGGGGCATTTCTAACAACAACTGAAAATGGAGGGTCTCTACAGATATACATTGTTTAAATCAACACATCTACTGGTTCAAAAATGAATCCTTTTTTACAAATTTTGAAATAACTTTTTTTTTTTTTTCTTTCTTTGTAACAGGTGGTTCTGCTAATCTAACCTGCCGAGCTTTCTTTGGATATAGTGGGGATGTCAGTCCTTTAATCTACTGGATGAAAGGGGAGAAGTTTATTGAAGATTTAGATGATAGTCGAGTCTGGGAAAGTGACATCAGGTAAAAGAAAAAAAAATCAGGCAATATCTTTTTTTGGTAGTTAATGTAATACTTGTTATCACAGACTAATTCAGGGACACTTGCAATCTGGGCCGCTTTTTTGCAACATCCAGTCTTTATCTTTTCAATTTCATCATTAGACAACAGAAAAATACAGCAAAACCTGATGTTAGAGAGCTGCAAAAGCAGAGTGGTTGCCCAGCTAGCACAGTAGTGTAACCAACTGGGATTTGTACAGTCACATTTTCAAACTGTGGCAAACTATAACAACCATTAACACAGTTACTAAGAAGAAATAAAGAAAAGTAAATACATCCAGAAAAGCGGGTCAAAATAAGTTTTTTAAGCACATGGCCTTAAATAAATGCTGAAGTCTGACATCTCTTTTTGAATGTTTGATTTCTCTTCTTCAAAGAAAGAACTGAGTTTCCTGAAATGTTATTTGCCCTGTGAGATCCAAGACTCCTGTTACATGGGCAGGTTCTAGCTGCTGAAATATTTGTTATAGAAAGGATTTGGTAATTCACGTCATGTACTTATCCTGCTTCTAAAAGTGTTACCTCATTTGGAAATTGAGAAAACAGTATTTTTGTATTGAGAATAACATGCTTGACACAGCTTTCCAACTCATATCCAATATGAAGTACCTACTTGGATCTGAAGATATTCCTTTCTTATTTACAATCCTGTGTGTGTGTGTATAACTGCGTTTGTATATCATGCATAAACCTAGAAATGAATGCAAATCTAAGTATGCACTACAAAGGAAGTTAAATAACCACAGGTGTATTATCCTCACTGATTTTCTACAATAGAACATCATGAGTTTGTATCCCTTTCTGCTCTTACATAGGAATTTACTACCTTATCAACAGACAAGAAGTCACACTTGTTTTCAGTTTTAGCTTGGAGTTCTACTGTATAATTAAATTAAGGGAGAATCTTCCTTTGTAAAAATCAAGAAGGTCATATAGACATTCAAGGTCTTTGTGTCCCCAGACATAGGCAAAATGGAGGCATATTTCACCCCACTGTACATCAAATTTTATAAAGATCAGAACAAATACACTTAATTGAACAAGACAACTAGATAAGCTACATTTCTCATATAAAGCTCTTCCCAAGCCTTTCAACCAGACTTGGCATTTTGAAGGCTGATGAAAAGGTGTCAAAAACCTCTTTACAACTTTCTTGTTTTGTGGAAGGAGGACCCAGAAGACTGGTTTCCGTTGCTTTTGTCAGGTGTGAAGTGAGGGAGCAGCCTGTAGCAGTTTGTCACTTTCTGTGCTGGGTTTCTAAAACCACTGATGGGATTGCTAAGAGGGAAAGAAAGAAATTGAAAACAGGAGGAGCATTAAGCAGGTCTTTGCTTTTCCTTATCATCTGTTGAATGAGTGGCATCTGGCATTCCACTTCCTTCTATTGACTTATAATACATAGTCAAATTTTGTAATATATTCACAAAATATATATATATTTATTTCAGTATACAAATAGTGCATTTCATCAAAACTCCTGATGTAACTGAAAACCTGAAATATAACTGTGTTTCACTTTTCTCTGTTCTAACATATCAAGACTCTACATATTACTGATCAGGGCCTTCATCAGAGTACAGTAATACGTTATCAGTGTGTGCATCATCCTGCTTAAATACAATTAACTGTAGCTCTCATTAACATTTACAAAGCCAATCCTCCTCATTAGAAGTGAGGAAGAAAAGTATGTGATATAACTTAATTAAGATTGCATCAAACCATAACCAAATCTGAAGCCAAAGAGTTGTGAATTGTAAGTAGCAATATTATGCCACGATTATCTGATGCTCCACTGTGATACAAGCAGAACAGAAGATACGATTTCTTTTTCCTCAGGGTTCTCAAGGAACATCTTGGGGAACAGGAAGTTTCTATCTCATTGATTCTTGACTCTGTGGAAGAAGGAGACCTTGGCAATTACTCATGCTATGTTGAGAATGGAAATGGACGCCGTCACGCCAGTATTCTTCTGCATAAAAGGGGTAAATATGCAGGTCCTCACCACAAAATGGTACATTGTGGGGGTGGTTAGTTTGGAAAGCTTCCTTTTTATGAAAGTATGTCTTTCTGAGATATTAGTAAGCAATGATTGTTTTCCCTTGGCATTCATACCACTTACAAAATAAAATATAAAGGTTGCTGTTTATTCTGGCTGTCACCAGGATAAATACAGTAACACCTTTTAATTATATTTCTATAACAGATGCATTTAATAATTTTAAATTTTAAAACTAATAAAGGCTCAACAGAGAAAAAAAATAGTAGGAAGTTACAAGTAATAAAACCATAATAATTTTCTTTAAGAAATAAAATTAAATACTAAAAAAGCAAAACACATACATTCTATTTCTATCAGTAAAGTCACCTAAACTTAATAGAATCACAGAATGGTTGAGGTTGGAAGGGATCTCTGGAGTTTGTCTGGTCCAAAACGGCTGCCTAAACAGGAGAACCTAGCACAGGTTGCACAGGACTATGTTCAGGCAGCTTTTGAAAATCTCCAAGGAGGACCCCACAGCCTCTCTGGGCTACCTGTACCAGTGCTCAGTCACCAGCACAGTAATTGATTCCTAAAGTTCAGACAGAGTGTCCTGTGTCCATTTTGTGCCCATTGTCTCTTGTCCAATAGCTGGACTCACTCAAAAGAGCCTGGCTCAACACTATTTTCACCCTCTTTTCAGGAACATATACACATTGACAAGATCCCTCTGAGTCTTCTCTTCTCTGAACTGAACAGTGCCAGCCCTCTCAGCCTTTCCTCATATGAGAGGAACACCAAAGCCTTATTCATTTCTCTGGCCCTTTGTTATAGTCTCTCCAGTATGTTTATATATCTTTTATACTGGTGGGCCCAGAGCTTCCCTCCACCTGTCGGCAACACTTTGCCTAGTACAGTCAAGAATAACATTAACTTTCTTTGCAGCAAGGGCAGATTGCTGGCTCATGTTCGGCTTGATATCCATAGGGATCTTCAGGTTATATTCTGTAAAAATGCTTTCCATCTGGGTGTTCCCGAGCACTAACTGGTACCCATGACGGTTCCTCCTCAGGAACTTTGCACTTTGTTAAACTTCAACAGTTTCTCATCAGCACATTTTTCCAGCCTATCCAGGTCCCTCTGGTTGGCAGCACAACCCTCTGGCCTATCCCACTCCTCCCAGTTTTATGTCATCTCCAAACTTCTGATGGTACACCCTGCCTCCTTCACTCAGATACTTAATGAAGATGTTAAACAGAACTGGACCCAATATTGACCACTGGGGTATGCCACTAGTTACTGGCCTGCTATTAGACTTTGCAGTATTAATCATAACGTTCTAGGCCGAGCCAATCAGCCAATTTTCATCTCATCTCATTGTCCATCCAGCAAGCCCACGGGAGTTCCTGTGGAAGTTCCTGGGAGTCTGACTGTGGACAATTTCCTTCTAAAACATTTGTGTAACACCAACATTTTTCAAGTGAAGACAGAAATATATAAGGATCTTCCTATTTCTACTCACCACTCACATTGCATTACTTCAGGCTGATGTCCACAGGGATGGAGATAATTATGGAAAGGAGAGACTCTTGCAAAGACAGGTTCTGATATTCACTTTGTTCACTTTACCTCCCAGAGGGTGCTCCACATGCCTAGGCTTGATGCTCTCCACACTCATGAAGCATTCCACTGGTTTAAGGGAGCAAAGAACTATCAGCAGCAGTGTCTGTATTTTGCTGTCATTACTGTGCTTTTTTTAGTCTGTAAATGTTCTTCTGTGTTCTTCCTATGGTACTGAACTAGTTGTTGCATCTCAATTTATATCAAAGCAGTGAAGCCTTCCCTAATTTTAGTCTTTCAACATGCAAAATCTGTCCAAGAGCCATAAACCCAGAGTGTGACTCATTTATTTAAATATATTTTTGTGTACCTCCAATTAATTGAAAAGAGCTAATTCATAGCCCTTTTTCTGAACATTTCTCAATCTTTCTTATGAGATGTAAATAAATAGATGTTCCACTTAGCGTGGTATTTGGAATATTTCTTGAATTTTCTGAAATGTAAAATTAACTTACTAAGTAATTGAACTGCAACAATTTATCAGGTGGTAGCCAAGTACCCCTAATTCAGATATATTTGAATCCAGGGTGAGAACTTTAAAAAAACAAACACTGTAATTCAATGTGTTGTCTTTAATAATAAAGTTAGTACATGGAGCAATGGAGATACAGAATCTTAAGGCTTAAATTACTTTGAAACCAACAATTAACTGACTGATTTTTATTAAGTCATATGCTTATGGTGAGTCCTTATTTTCCCCTCCATACAAGCAATAACACCAAGACTGATATGACATGTAACTTTTTTTTTTTTGTTCTGTGACCATAATATTCTTAATCTATCAGTGAATATATACAATTTTTGGAAGGGTTTACTTTCCTTCCTCCCTTTTTCAGAGAAATCAGTATGTCAAACATATTGCAGTATGTGGTCTCATGATGCATGATGACATGCTTAAGAGGAAGTAATCTCAATATTTAACTGCCCTTATAAATAGTAAAAGGTAAAAATAGCAAGAGTTCCCACAAAAGATTAAGACTGAATCTGAAATTGTGATTTGGAAACAATATCCATTGTGCCCTCAAAAAACAAAAGGTACTTGTTACAAGCCTTCTACATACTTTGCATGTTGACAACTGCTTCAGTGAAATGATAAATTAACCATGACAGATAAAAATTTGAGCTTGTCTCTCAGGTCTCCTAGGAAGAGGAGCTTTGCACTGCTTGCTTAGTCTCCTGTATATCACCATGACAACATTTCATTTTAGGTTTCCCTGTTTAGATCCATATTTAGTCTCTGATAGGAATGAGTTAGCTGTTTATTAATTTTTTATTATTTGCTCACAGAACAATTGGGACCTAACAATTAGGTAAATTTGCTTCCTGAAACTAAAGCATTTGCAGAGGTATTAGTTTTTCCCAGTTTTCTAGTTAGAGATCTATCTTTTTCATCGGTATAAGCAAATAGAAATGGCGAATTTGGAATGTTCACTGCTTACCTGAAAACAAAATGATAAATCACTCTTAAACTTCATATGTGGTACATTATCGCTCAGATCAGAAGGGACAAAAAAGCAGAAAGCTCGGTTGCTGGACAAAAAGTGTTCCTGGGAAAAGAGGTATTTAGGACTAAATGCTAGAGTGGGGATTCAGGTACAAAATGTAAGCCCTTAAAACAACTTTCGGCCTCTTGCTTTGCCCTGCTCAATATATTCTCTATAAACATGAACTTCCAGTGGGAGCTTTTGGGTATGCCCACAATTACACATCCTGAAAGGGCAAATAGTTGAGAGTCTGAATCACCAGCAAACACCTACATGCATCTTTCTTACTCTTCACTCCAGTCTGTCTCAGCAGGGAGCCATTTACCTCACAGAAAATGAAAACAAGAGCTGGTGGCAGTCCCCTCACATGCCCAGTTCCCAACATGTCCAGCCAGGGCAAGGGGGCTTCTGCTTTCTCCCCTATTTGGTCCTGGAATTGAAACCCTGAGCTTCCCACCTTATGAAAGAAAGTTTAGGGCAAGAGCTGTGACAGAAAAGCTACCCTACGTTAGGCATTCAGCTTTAGAGAACTGCAGTCTTGGCAGTTGAGCCCCATCTGGGCAGCAGTCCCCATCTCTGGCAGTTTAGCTCTGGTTTCCTCCTGTGTTCCTCTTACTTTGTGACTGCCAGTGGAGAAAACCTATGATCACTGTTTTTATGCAGACAGCTGACCATTTCTAGATGCCTAACTTTCCTCAGATGCTATGTATAGGAATAATTTAACCGACCTAAGGGCAGTAGAGCATTTTAAGTATAGCAGTGCCAATGCTGTTTCCTCCTCTGATCCATTCCTACAAAATTTGTCCAAAAATAATCAGAAGTAGAAAGCAACAAGAACCCAGGAGATCTAACTTTCATTCTCTTCCTCCAGCTGTTGATCAAATATATTTCTATCATTTTTACAATAATAGAGTTATTTTCTCTTCTGTGTGAACAAAAAAGATATACTTGTTACAATCTGAAGCTGATTTTGTTGTTTAGTGATGATAGCTGTCATCGATCATCTGTAGCAGTTACAGGTCAGTCTTCAACCAGATAGAGGAACCTTCTAGAAATTAATATTGAGAGTGGTACTGGCAGCAGCTAAACACAAATTTATTAATGACAAACTACATACTGCAGATGATGTAAGGGGTGGATCATACACTACAATTCTATTTTGTCACAGGCTTTTAATTCAAGAATACAAGCCCATACGTAAAAAATAAAAATATAAAGCATTAAGAAGAAATAATGTTCTTCTACAATATTGTTTCTTCTAAACTATGACTTTCATGCTGGATCAAATCCCTTGTGGTCTCATTTAATTGTACATTTAGGTGGTAATACAGATTATTATTTAATTTTGTGGCTATTTCTATGGAAATTCTTGTCTGTGTGTCTGCAAATAAAATACCAATGCAAAAATAATCTCGAATTCTATGCTGTCCTAAGTTTAAAGGTTGTTTTTTTTCAGTTTTTCTTATTTTAAAAACTAAATAACATATTTACGGCTTTCATGGATACCCATCAGACCTGTGAGCAGGTAATACACTTTATGCATTTTTTTCAAAGTATCTTCTTTTTTTTTTCTCAGTGTTGTCTACTTTTCTGTCCTGTGCCTCTTATATCTTGGGTCTGTTTTCTTCTGTCATAGGGGATATATGGGGTTTTTTGACCCTAACATATATAACTGAGGGATGGTTAAAACAACTTTTAAAGAGTTTTACTAAAATATATTGTTTAGAGGAAGAGTTACTCTATTTTAATTTGCCCATGAGAATGTATGTTTGAAATTAAAGCAAGTTATTTTTTTTTCCATAGGAAATGCTACTTGGAGAAATATTTAAGTAGGCATACCTTAAACTCTTTACCTATGAATACATAAGCATTGTATTAATATTTCCAAATATTGGAAGCC